CCCGCTGACCCGCCGGTGTCGGGCAGGCTGGAGGGAGGCGGTGGCGGCCGCCGTCGGTGCCTTGCAGGCGGGCGGGCTGGTGGCGGTGCCGACGGACACGGTGTACGGCGTGGCGTGCCTGGCCCAGGACTCCGGCGCCGTGCGGAGCATCTACAGCCTGAAGGGGCGGAACGGGAGGAAGCCGCTGGCCATCTGCCTCGGGGACGTGGACCGCCTCTACAGGTGGGCGTGGGGGCTGCGGCCGGCCCGCGGAGCCCCCCGGGGCTGGGCGGGCCGCGCCGCCGGTCTGCGGGGCTCTGCTGGGCTCCCGAGCTCTCACAAGAGCCCGGCGGCACAGCACTGCTTCCCACGGGGCGGCCGGGGGCTGCCGGTGCCGTTCGTGGCGGGGAGCGGCCACTTTCCGCGCTGCAGAGCATGAGGCCGCAGGGAAGGGCTGCACTGGAGCCGCTTCACAGCGCCCAGCACCTGCGGTCCGGGCCCTCTAACGCTTCCTCTTGCCATGCAGGTACTGCCAGGTGAACGTGCCGGACGAGCTGTTGCGGGACCTGCTTCCAGGACCTGTGACCCTGGTCTTAAAACGTTCGGAAGAACTAAACAAAGACTTGAATCCTTTCACGTCGGTAGGTCTTTGCTACAGGACGCATCTTGGGGTTTGAGGGACGGTGAGCTATTTCTGCGCTTCTGCTGTCGTAACTTTTATTCTGACGTGTGTGTTTAGCACGCTTAGCAGTGACAGGTGTTCTCCCAAAGCTGGTCCCTATGCTGTAGTGCTCCCTGCGACTTATTTGAACGCGGCACAACCCAGCATTGGGGGCTAACTTACAAAGACACATCTCGTATTATTGCTAGTTCAGCGGGTGTTGATGTACTGATTGTCTCGAGTATCAGCTTTAAGTCAAGAGGGCTTTAGGCAATGCAAGATTAAAAATGGTTACTGTGTGTAACACCAAGCTCTCTTCTTCCCTGTAGCTGGTTGGTGTTCGTATTCCAAATCACCCTTTTATTAGGGAGTTGGCACGAGCTTGCTCTGGACCACTGGCTTTAACAAGCGCTAACGTCAGCTGTCAGGCGAGCACGCTGACGGTTTCGGTAAGGCCGGTTTTGCCAGTAAGTGATGTTATTGTGGTAGTCTGTCAGAGCCCCAGGCTCTCACAATTGGAAGCCAGCTTTAGCAATAAACCAAGAATTTCTCTGCTGCTATTATATATTGTTTTAAAGTGATAATCTCTAGTTAAAACAGCCTGCAGATACGTGGTGTGGGGTAGCTGTCTTGCTATGATCCTCACCTTGAAAAGTGAGGAGGGCAGAGCTGAAAAGTAGTATTTAAAGGCTTATACACGCGTTTTGAAGTGGGTGCCAAATCTGAAAGACGGAAATGACTGTAGGAGGGGTGGCTGTGGAATGAGACTGCTGCTGCCTGTACAGCTCCTTGCAGCCTGGTAACTAACAGTAACTCAAGGAGATATCTTTTTGCAAAGCTTGTGACCCTGGTGATGGTGTAGTTGGGCACAGTAGCAGACAGACACCTTGTCTTTGTCCCCAGATGTCTTGATAGACTTCTGGCTTTTTTTGTGTGCTCCTTAATAAACAGTGGTGCAGCTAAGAAGTCTTCAACCAGAGAATCCTTGTGGCTTTCCTGCATGTCTGAGAGAAATCTGTTCTAAGAAATCAAACCGAGATGTGTTCATGATAGAAAAAAAGCGAGCTGACCTGGTAGCGGAAGGGGAGAGACCACCTCCCTTAACAACAGAATGTCCAGTAGTGTCTCTTAAAACACAATCACAAACCATCTTCGGGACTTTTAGCCACATCTCTTTTTTTCAGGAATTCCAAGACCTATGGCCTCAGTTGTCCTTAATCATAGATGGAGGCCCAATAGGGGATGTCCAGAGCCCAGAGTGTCGTTTGGGGTCAACTGTGGTTGACTTATCTGTGTCGGGGAAGTTCACCATCATTCGTCCTGGCTGGTGAGCACTCTTTGCTGAGTAGAACTGTAGCTTTTTCTTTAAATGAAATGAAACTTTCAAGTTAGGGTGGGTTGTGTTTTGCTTTTTTTCCCATAGCAGTTGAACCTTCACGTTAATCCAGCAGGCTCAGAAATACTGGAAGTGCTCTAGATTCCAAGCCCAGGAGACCCCTTTCTAGAAGCTTCTATGTGAAACGCTCTAGTTCCTGGAGTTCAAGTTCTCCTCAATTCAAAATGCAATACGGGGTCTAACTGATTGCTCTTTCCCAGAAAATGGAGTTTAATCCTTCAAAACCTTTTTTCTGACGGTTCTGTTTCACCCCACAGTGCACTGACACCTACAGTTGAAATCCTGAGGCAGAAGTATGGCTTGATACCAGAATCATCTTGAGACTTCAGACTCTGAGGAGGCTCTGCAGAGCTGGTAAAGCTGGGCACTGTGTGCCTGCACATTCAGGAAATGGGCGTTCGTGGCCTTGTTTAATAAGGTCAATGGGTTATGTGAAGGTTAATAAACAAAAGATTAAAAAAGAAGATAAAAAACCGAAGCAACAGTTGATGGGTATCTGTTAATTAATATCACATCTGCTGTGGTCTGAGAAACCCACCCAAATATGTATGCTAACCTCTCTGTGCTGCTGTACCATTCCCAAATACCTGTCTGTTTTATTAACATGATTAGGCCTTTGAAATACAGTAGTCTGAATGATAGACTATTCTTAGGATGGGATGATGAAGGTAGTGTCTGATCTACCCTCCCCTTAACACTTATTCCATGTCTTTGTTTATTGTATCTGCACTGAAAGAAAAGCAAAGATGGAAAAGAGGTTTTTCGAGCTTTCACGATGTTATAGCTGTGGTGTTCTCTGGCTGTTTTTCTCTGTTTTAAATGTAATCAAAACCTACTACTGAGATGAAACTAAGTGCTTTTGACAGTTAGCAGTATTCAAATGGTCCCTACCTAGACAAGAGCTGCTCAGAAGGACCTGGCTTCCTCATAATACAAAGAATGAAAACAAGCTCTTAGCTTGCTGATCTTCATTTTTTAAATGTGGACTTCCTTCTCTTGATTTTGTTCTGCAAACAGTGCTAAGCTGAAGTAAATAGGGAATGGATGAAAGTTTCCGCTGGTATTTATTCTTCATTGAAACATAAAGTTTATGGAGCTGCTATTAATTTAAAAAATGGTAAGCAACTTGCATGATTTTGTTATAAATGCTTGTTTTTAGACATTATTTTCCATGACTTTTGATGGACTTAAGTGGTTAGCAAGAACACGTATGGAGGCATCATAAGTAGAACCTTGTTTCACATCCAGAGCTGCTCCTTCTCATTTTATTGATACAGACAACTATAAATGAATTTTATGGTTAATTTAGAAGGGTCTAAGCATGGCTAAAATCACAAAAAAGGGAAAGCTACTGTGAGCTGAACCTCTTTCAAATCACAAATTAACGGTGTTTTCAGTTGCATTTTTATTGCAAATACTTTTTTCTCCTTGGTTCTAAAGGGGATGAAGCAACTTCAGATCTAAATTTTCAAAACAGGGAACACTAAACAATCAGTTAAGAGCTTTTAGTATAGATTATTGCATTTTCTTGGTTTCCAGCACATACAGTAGTAGTAATAAATAGTCTCTAGCGTTCCAGCTCTAATTATCTTTAGTTATTTGGATACAGTGGACCACAGTGACAATGCCCAGTGCAGAATTCCTTGGTATAGGAGGGTTGGATAAAGTAGAGGGTATGTAATGGCATGACTTAGTTTCACCTACAGTAGACAGTTGGGAGGAATATTTACTCCTCTTTACAGTAAGCTGATAGAGAAATGCTTTGACAGAGTTGCTAGCGGAATGAGGGATATGTGATCACTGTAGGCAGCGGGCCAAGGGCGTATGGTGAAATGCATGCCGGAACCCAGCTAATCATGTCGAACATCACAGAACAGACACATGGTAAGGAAAACCAGATCTTTGGCCCCCAAGCCAGCACCCCTTGTGAATTCCAGAGGAGCTTTGAAAGGGTCATCTGTACTAAATCTGCAGAAAATTAGATTTGACTGCTGCTTGGAGATTTCCTGCTCCCTGTAATGCTTCCTCCTGTCAGTCTGTAGCCTGGGCTTACACAGTCCTTTGGATACTTGCAGATGGCTGCTCGCATTCAGCAGCCTGGTTAGGCTGAAGGTTCTGTGGCTGCGTCTCCTTGAGTGCTTTTTTCTTGAACAGCTGCTCTGGGGTGCAGCTTTGTCAGCGGGACATCTTCTCTTTGCTGCAATGTTCTGCCCACCTGCGAGTCAGCTCCAGGTATGTGCTCGGCTGATGAGGAAGGTAGTCTAAAGGCGTGTCAGCGTCTTCTTGGGTACAGCTTTCTTGATCTGGGTGCCGTCGTGCCATGTGTTGAAGGATGTGATGGAGACGATCTCTAGCCTGACCATGACAGCAGCCTGCAGAGCTGTTTCATAGTACTTCCCATTGACTGTTCCGAGTGTTGTGGTTGTTCCAGGGGCAAATGCTGCTGTTGATGTAGCCTGCGCCAATGCTGGGGATGAACATCAGCTTGCTGGAGTTGCAGAAAGTTTTGATTGCGTTCCAGTTCTGGTGGGATGAGCCAAAAGAGAAACCGTTGGACACAAAGTATGTGTACATGCCTTCATACCCTGCGGAGAGGATTTCATGCTTGTGTCCCTCCTCCACAAGCAGCGCTACAAACACAGCGTCGTAAGAGGTGTTGCAGAGAAAATGGGAGCCTGATGGCGTGAGAACGTTGGCTCAGGATTCAGCTGATGTCAAGTAGGAATCATAGTTATAAAACAGTGGGAGACTATTGCCGGTGCTGGTCTTGGACTTACAAAAAGCTGCGTGTGATCTGTATCTAGCTAGAGGAGAGCACAAAGCTTTTTCAGAGGCGGGGGTGATAAGCCCTCAGCAGGCACTTCTATTATAAGGCAAGCATGGTGTGAGACGTGGTTTGCTGTAGGGGCCTCCTTTCCCACAGTCTTTATCTCTGTCTTCACGGGAGTGCCTGTGCCTGCTCCTTTCCTTTTTGAAAGAAAGGGTAGAGATGCCAGCCTACAGGCCGTAAATTCAGAAACCTGAGCAGAAGAAAGCAATTTTGGGTTCTGAAGGCAAGGTATTGAAGTGCCAGAGAAAGTGGGATTAGATTGTGACCCCTGCCCAGTACTGCCCTGTTGGCTCACTCTAGTCAGCTCCCTCCCCTGCACGCTGTTTTTTTGGACACTATTCTGATGTATTTAATTCAAAGGTCTGCACGCTGTTTGTGCTTAAAGCAACATTACGCAGCTGGATTTAGCCTACATGAAAAACTTACTTGTCCATGATGTATCTGATATTCTCATGCATGGTGTGGTCATTGCACCCTTTGTATGGCTGGATATGAAAGGCAACCTTCAAAAGAGCCCATGGAGATGGTTATTTTCATCACATGGTACTGCTTTCTCTGCACCCTGACCTCCCAGAAGACCGCAGGTCTGCTGTAAAGGACCTTCTGTCGCCCACTGTGGCCAGACTGGGCAGACCACTTCACAACACATGTAGAGTACAGCAGCCTACTCGGTGAAGCCGGGGCTTTTCACTGGTTTTCCCTAATGCTAGTAAAAAGGAAACTGAAAATCCCAATTATTAAGAAGAGGAAAAGCCCTGTATTTAGCTATTGTTCCCATGGTCTTAAACACAAGTACTCGTTTGTTTTAACACGGTCACTGAAGCAGAGGAGCAGGGCCTCTGCCCAAGCACAGCATTGGCTTCATGCTGGAGTCGAACGGTGAGTTTAATGGCCTCCACCAGCAGACAAGAGCCTTACCTTTATGGCGTACCTGCACGCAGCATCCACTACGGAGAGCACGAGGCTGTCCGACGGCTCACTGTTGTTGTCTGCTGGGCCGGGTGGGTACCGGGGCGGAACCAGCACTCCCGCAGCAGCACCGGACAGAGCAGGTCTCGGTCAAACGTCTCTTGTGCCTGAGCTTCTCCTCTCCCCGTGCAGCGGCAGAGCAGTAGGTGCCTCCCGTCACTCCAGCGCTTTAGAGCCCCGTGGTGTTTAAGCCCCAGTTACGAGAGGCTGTACTCGGCACTCCTGGGTACCTGTCGGGGCCCGTGGGTGCCAGCAGCACCGGCGAGGGGGCAGCGGGTGCCCTGTGCTGGGGTGTTGTGGCATGGTGGAGGGGAGCGACTGCAGCCACTGGTGGCCCCAGTGATGGGCTGTGGGGTGGTGGTGGGGGGCTGCTGTGTGCCCGTGCCTGGCACGGT